ATATATATATATATTTAAAAAATATTAAGCAATAAGATTTTATTTATATGCCCGTAGAAGAAAAATTGAATGAACAACTGCATATCAACACGTGTGTCTGGGCAAGGATTAGCTTATATATATGATATATATATATATATAATTAAAATATAAATATATATATGTATATCAACATATATACATATATATAGATATATAATCTTTACTTCGTCGTTGTCAGGCGTTAATGTTAAACTTAATTATCATTAATTAATTATTAGATTGTGAAAGAATTTCTTCAGGTTCTAAGCAAGATTTGGAAATAATAAAACAAGTAAAATACATAGTTTCAAGTGTTTCTTCTTTTTACTGCTCCTTGTGTCATTTATTGCATTACTTTATGTTGCTTTTGTCTTGTTTCAAAAACTAATGCCATTCTTATGTTATTTAAAAAACAGTAATATAATAGTAATATGATCAGTTGTATTGTTATTTAAAAACCAGTAATATGATAGTAATATGATCAGTTGTATTTTACAAGAATATAAAACTTTTTTACAAAATTTTCTATAACGGGTGTTAATAAATTTCAAAATATATATGTACATACATACATACATACATGTATATATTTAAAAGATATATATTTTAAATTTCTCTTATAAAACTGACGCCATGGTGGCGCTAGTGAAGTAGCATTTCACATAAATTTGGCGGTAAACCTGGCATAAACACGTAACTGATAGAACGTGAGTTATTTTATTGAATTTTGCACGTATTTCGATCAAACATGGTTCATAAAACTGAAGAAGAATGTGACGATTTATTTGTAAAATCAGGAAAGGAGAAGCCAGAAACATTTGAGAGGGAACAAGCTGAATATAAAGATCTTTCAAAAAAATTTATAAATACGAAAAGTGATTATTCTAAACAATTTTCACACATATACTCTGTTAGACTGGCTGAATTGAGAGAAGCTTTAATTCCGCGTGTTAAAGCTAAATGGGGTATGTTTATTAATTCTTCATTTATGGATAATATCATGTATTTAACAATGGTTATGATGTCCAACAAAAGTATACAAAAAAAAGATTTTTTGCGAATAACGTAATACCCCTATTTTTCTTTTCTCCATAGAAAGTGTTCCAATTGTCAAATTGGCCGATTTAGAAAAATTAGAAAATCAACAGTGTATAATAATTGGTACGCTGTATAAACATCAACAATGGAAACCATCAATTTTAAGAGAACTCAGTGAAGAACATCAGCTTAGTGCTTCCTGTTCTAAACCAAATTACTGTTCAGAAAAGGATCAACCATATCTAGAAGATGAAATGTTACGTATCAAATTGGTTGGCGAACAAGTTGACATAAAGCAAATTATTACTGGGGTTGTTTGTGCTGTATTAGGCAATGAAAATAATGATGGAACATTCATGGTAATGTTATTCTAGTTTTAGAGAAATACAATTGTTTCATATGTTATATTATATATAATGATAACTATTATTATATTTAGGTAAAAGATTGGTGTTTTCCTGGATGTGCACCAAAAGAATCTTTAAAAGAATATACATCACAAAGAAAGCTGGTACTAGTGTCTGGATTAAATTTGTCTAATAATTGTGAAAGTTTGGGAATGTCTCTTTTTGTAGAATGGTTGTGTGGAATGGCTGGTAATACAACAATACAAAAAGATAATACTTTCATTGTCCGTCTCATTATAGCAGGTAAATCATATTCACTCACTATCATATTATGTATAATATAAATATAATATAAAGTACTTTGATTTTCCTATATTAGGTAATACTATAAAAAACAATGATACATCTCAGACATCAACAAACACAAGTAAAGAACTTGGAGAGGTAATAAAATTTGTGGACATGTTCCTAAGTAACTTGGGAATGTGTTGTTCTGTTACCTTAATGCCTGGAGAACATGACCCCAGTAATGCCATGTTGCCTCAAAGACCATTTCATCCTTGTCTATTACCTAAATCATCTAGGTTTGTACATATATTGTACAAATAATTGTAACATTATATTATATTTTAAACGCGCAAATTTATTTTATTTGTATGTCATAGACTTGAAAGCTTTAAAAGTACTACAAATCCATGGATTGGTAAAATTGAAGGACGAGTAATAATTGGCTCTAGTGGTCAATCAATTCAAGATATTGTTAAAGTAACAGGCGAAACTGATATTTCACCACTCGAATGGCTAGAAAAATCCTTGTTATGGAGGCACATTTGTCCAACTGCTCCAGATACACTGTTAGTTTGCCCATACTATGAAAAAGATTTATTTATTATGGAAACATGTCCAGATATATATTTTGTAGGAAATACAGACAAATTTGAAACAAAATTGTGGAAAGGTTTGTTCATCTTATTATTAAATATAAGATAAAAGTGACTTGTAATAAAATAAAAATTGATTGATAATTTAATTTTCAGGCGATGAAAATCAGATCGTTAGATTAATATCTGTTCCACGTTTTGATATGACTCAGACTGCTGTGATAGTGAATTTGGACAATTTAGATACTCAGTATATTTCCTTTAGTAATATTTAAATGAATCTATCTTTCTGCAAGGATATTAAGTATTTCTTATACAACGCTATATTTTTTCACCGTAATTTGATATAAATTTTATATGAATATATGTGTAAGATTTGTTAAAATACAAACACTATTAAAAAATAAGATTATACGAAAATACACATTTATTTTAATTCTATTTATTAAATTTCATTTAACAGTTTAATTTAATTCATGATATTAATCAACACATAAATAGTAAAAGAAAAACATGTTCTATTATTGACTATTTATTTTCATCCAAAATGTGATGTACAAAATCTAAGCGCATGACTTTTAAATATAGGTATGTTTGACTAAATATAAAATATGTGATAAGAAAGAAATTACATGTAATATCACAGATTATTAGAAAATTATGAAATCACAGTGACATGAGATTTTGGGCATGTAACTTGTTACACGTTCAAATAAACATGAATTCATGCTTTATAAATTATAAATAAGAACATAACAGTCAAAATACAGGATACACTTATTTCTTGATAACAAAATAGTGTACTATAGTTTACTTTTAATACTTTAGTTGTTTGCAGAAACTAAAATGTACTAAGTATATTATCCTTCTGTAATCCCATTTTCTTACCTGTAGATTGTTACATAAAAATACAGAACGCAACTATAAATAACCATATACATGTTATTTTAAAATTTTATAAGTAAACTGTTTTTGACTGTTATATGAGATGCAAAAATTATGAAATCATTTAAAGAAATGATAAACAACATAAGAGAAGTCAAATATAGAAATATAACGATGTACACAATGTAGGCATACATATAATACATTATCATGTATATGTGTTCGTAATAGTTGGAATTTTGTTGAATGCATTCAATTATTGTACAATGAATATCGCTTTTTCGCAACTAAAAAAAATATGCAACATCGAAGGATAATGCTACAGAACATTTCAGTTGGCACTTTTATTTAACGTAAAAATTTGATTATAATATAAATACACTTTTTATTTTTATTTATTTTTTTTTAAATATAAAATTGTCTAATTCTGGTCATATGAGATTCTAACTGTTGAAGAATTGTATCTTATTTTATCAGTATAACAGTGAAAGAAAAATATAACAATATCCTTATCCTAAATAAAAGGATAATAATCCGTACAATTCTAATGCTTTGGCCGAAATAGCAATATTTAGAAAGCAATTATTAAGGTTTCCCATTAATTTAAGCAGAATGAAGTTATAAAATTTATATTTATAATACACTTTACAGATTCATAATACCATTAACTTAAGGTGCATGTTACATGACCGACAGGTATATATAACAATTGACAGGTAGCTTCTGCATATAGTAATGACGACGTAGACATACTGTATGTATTAAAGACTTTATCCTATCTCTTAGCCGTCGGACGTATTCGTTCCTTTTCAGTATCCCTATCGTCAGCTACTGTCCATTCAGGATCATTGGGATCCTCACCCTCTACGTCACAACAAGCTGATTCTGTCGAATCTGATTCTGGAGAATCCATTTCCCCATCCTAGAAACGAAATATTAACATCTACCTAAATAGTTATGAAAAACTATTCTTTCCAACGGTTATTCTGCATATATTACAAAAAACTATATTTAAATACACAAGCTTGTAAGAGCTGAAAAAAAGTCAGCAAGCTAATTCATCAAAATATTCTAATGCTTATAAAACTTATGTAAACGCAATGCAATCTTTCTTAAATATTGCTAAAATCTGGAATATGCAATAAAAATAAAATCAATTGTGTTTAAAATAAGAAGCATCAAATGACACTGCTTACCAGAGATAGCCTCGAGGAGCCATGAAAGTTGGCTCAAAGTTTATATTAATAATCAGTACGAGCATTCAGATCTTTTTTTTTTTTTTTTTTTGTAATAAAAAATTCTGTCTTAGATAATTAACACTCAAATATTTAATACAAACACAATGTACGTACATCATATGTTTTTTCTTCATCGCGAGAACAAAGAGATGCTGAAGAAGCTTGCCAATGCCCATCTGGCATCACTTCTAGCATTTTGTCATATACTTCTTCGGATAATGGAAATACCCTTGGTTCATACGGCAAAATCTAATGAGAAACAATACGCAATATTTCTTAAAATATTTTGTTTACATTTAAATGTATTATTTTATTAGTAACTTAAATCAGGTGAAAAAATAATACCTCGTTTTCGTCTTCATTTATGGAAGTACTAGTGTCATCTTTCCCTACTCTTAACGTAGGCGTGGTACGACGTCGTAAAGCATTTTGTAAAGCAGATGATCGATGCATGTTATCCGAGTTATGTTGATGTTCTGATTCCTGAACTTGAGGAGTTGCAGGAGGTGACGTGATTGGTGACATAATATCTCCACCAAAATCACTTGCATGTGGAGACATAGGATCTATCAATTACCAAATAATTTGTAAATTATCTTGACATGATTTCTAACGTTATGCGTAATAAACATTCTAATTATTATTAATATACTAATATTTTAATTATAAAAGTATATTATAAAATACAATTACCTGGTGTATTTGCACCACTATCTGTTCGACTATCTGTTCTACGATTGTGTCGAATACGAGATTGATGCGGCATATTCATATACATCATGAAACGTTTATTCTCTTCTCGTTCACTTCGTTCATGTCTTAAAGCAATAGTTTCGTCCGACATATCTTCAAACTAAAAAATGGTATACAAATATTTTAATCTCGTTGATGTAAAATTATTTAGAATTTCATACTAATGTAATTAGATGTACTTACATCACTGTCTTGACTAGGCCTATGCATAACACCGTTTTTAATGTCCAACTTTGAAGGTTCTTCACATAACCTCCACCTTTATTTTATGAAAAAGAAGAAAAGATATAATAGAACACTAATAGCTATACACACAAGTACTGTACAAAGTTAATACATAGTAAATATTACTTACTTTGGTGTTAATATTTCTTTGTATTGTAACTTTTCAAGCCTAGTTGAAGCAGCTACACTATATGGTATAACTATATTATCAATATCGTATGAATTTTGCCTCAAGCGTCTGAAGAAAAACATTTTACAAAATGTTTAATTATACGTTTGTATATTTTTGTAAACAAATGTAATTAGTGATACCAACCCATGAGAATTCTTTTCTTTAATTATATTCTTTTCTGTAGTAGAAGCGATAGTATGGTGTAGAGGAGAAGGCACTGGAGATGAATGCTTACTGGAGCTGGAAAGTGCACTAATATCATCATCATCTTCAGTTGTCAGTTTCTGTACCCTCTTCCTACTTAAACTGTGAACGCTTCTATCATGACCAAGCCTATTTCGTTTTCCTTTCAACATTTTCTTTTTAATTCCTACATAAAGAACATCAACAAATAAAGAAGATTAGAAAGAATGAAAAAAAATTTTTCGTTTGATTACATAATGTAACGCATTACATACTTGCAGTAAGGATACTTGAGGATGATTTTTTTAACCGAGCTGCATATTTTGCTCTATGCCCTGGAAGTTTCTTATTTCTCCTTTCATTAGTATCTTTATCTTTTAAACGTGTAATCCGTAAATTTCCCCTTAACATTTTTTGTTGCCATTCCACTGATTTCATGATAGCTTCAAGATGAGTTCCCTGTGTGATTTCTACAAAAAAATTACATAAATTAATGTAGATTCTCAAAATTCCAATATTACATATCACAACAAATATGTAAATAAATGTATAGATACAGAATATTTATTTACCATCAGGAAATAACAAAACAGGATGAAAACTAGGATCCACAAGTGCAACTCTTTCTTGTATTGACATTTGTTCAATTGGTTCTTGTGGTTGCATTGGATCCAATCTTCCAGTGCATAAAGCACATGATGGTAATACATGATCACAATTACATCTTACTGTTGATGCTTTTGCAGCACGTTTCGAGACTTCGTGTAACTTGTCTAGTTGCAGTAATTTCCTCTTTCTATAAAAACTCCACACAAATGGCCGAGTTCTACTAGCAGGCAATTCACCTTCTGGTGAATTATAACGTCCCGTAGAACCCGGTAAAACACCGCTATATCCATTTACTGTCTCTGCATTATCAAGTATCACTAATCCCTTGTTAGCTCTAATATGCCGCTGTAATTCATTATGCTGTCTAATTCTGTATTCCAAATCTGATATTTGTGCTTGCAACCATGTCCATCTCGCAGCTACACCTGCACGATCTTGTGCATACCTCCATGCTGCTCGTTTAGATCTACAAGTTAATATTGATAAAAACATATTATATATTATAAGTTTATAATTGATCTTTTGACAAAAAATATTTAGTTAAATAATTCTGATAAGATATAGAAATCAAATGTATTGTGTTTCGTTAACATCAATTCAGACATGTTTATTATATTTTTCATTTAATAATTACTGAAAATAGATATAAAATACACGCAAATGAAATACATACAAAGATACACATAAATACTCTTTATATTAAACAATATCATGAAACAAAACTTATTCAAAACCGGCCCAAAACATTATTCGGTTTGAAGTTTTTTTTTTTTCAAAAGTTACTTTAGTTAGTAGACTGTACAAAATAATTTTACATTTTCAATCTTCTAAAACGGAAAATAGAAAAACTAAAATAATTCCAAGTAAACATAAATTTTAATGATAAAAGAAATTAAAACTTACATAGATATACTTTGTTGATGTGGATTATTAAATGATTGCATTTCATCACAACTTTCTCCACCACTACTAGATGCAGTACAATCAGAGTCAAGATTAGATTCCACAATATGTAGCTGTGTAGCTAAAGGTCCAGCCACACTTTCTACTTCTTCACCTTTAACTTTAACTTGAGGAGTACCAAACACTGACTGACGATTGCTATTATTACCTGAAGTACTACCCAAATTGTCACGCGATCCATCACCAAAATATCGGCAACATAATCGCTGACGATTCACACTATTACTCTGAGCAACACACATTTTTTCAATTTTTTGTAAAAACGAACTCAAACTACTATTAATCTCAGGAAAGTTTCTAACATTAGACTTAGAACCGATATTAACCAATTCTTGAAAAAGATATTTCTTCACTCCATGATGAGCAAGCTCAAGAACCCCGGTATTTTCTTCAGCAACATGTCTACCTATTATTCTTGCTTGAAGCTTTCTCAGTCTTCTTAATAAAAATGCACATTTCCTTTCGCTCTCGTGTTGTTTTTGGGCAACAATATCTTGCTGTAACTTCAAGGTATTAACTTTCTGTTGGTCCACCGCATCAGCGATATTGCAAATGCTCATAACATCAACATCAAGTAAATCTCTCTCAAAAGAAGAAAATCCTTCTTCAGGCATCTCAGAAAACATCTCAACTCCATCCACTGCGCTTTGCACTGGTTCATTACTTTCTGCAGAGATATTTTCTGCATTATCCACACCTTCGATAGATTTAATAACTTGTAAAATCTCCTCCACATTCTGTCCAATATCACTAACATTGCTCATGTTACATTGTTCATTGTCCGCAGTTATATCCGTACCAAAAGCCATTATTTGATCCACATCCAGATTTTTATTATCTCCTGCTGTTTCTGAGCCCACCAAAGGCAAATCTGCGCTTGATTTCAAAAAACCCATATTGTCCGCTTGATCACCCATAGATGGGTCGTTCATTATAGTATCCGTCACCTTTTTTTCTGGACTGCCTGGAATATCCAGTTGTCCACAGTCCTGCTTTATTAATGCCTTGTTTGTAATCAAGTCAGATCCGTGCGTAAATGTAGACAAACTATCAAGATCATTAGCATATTTCGAGTTGATGACATCACGAATAAGATCCTTGGATATACCATGTAAGCACTGCTCGTCAATCTTTGATGGTTGGACGTTTGCAGAAACAACAAATTTTGCCAGAATTTCACGATTCTGGCACACCTGCGTAGCCTGCTCTGGGGAAAGAAATCCACCAGCTGGAAGGGAAGGGAGCAAATTTTCAGGCTTTTGAGGACCACCTTCCGTCAGAGCAGGGGCCATCACTGCCACTGACACTGCCAGTGCTGCAGCCTCGACATCCAGAGGCTCCCACGTGCGTACGCACCCACACCTACACTTCACATGTGCTGTTCTCACTCCCATTCATCCATTACTAATTTATTGTCCTGCACTTGTATTAACTGTTGTTATCCTTCAATGTAATTGCTTTTTCTTTTCTATTTCCTTCCTCTTTTAAAGCATATACTTTCTTTATTCCACATTAAACGTTATGTTGTCTCAACAGTATTCTCCATGTTGATTAATGTCTTCATTTGTACATTTCATTCATATGCTTTGGACCAACTCATGATATTAACCTGCAAATATAAATATTTGTAAATATTACGTCATTTTAATTCTCATGAAATTAATACACTAAAATTAACTATATAGGATATATACGTGTTGCATGTACAATAAAAGCAACGTTTTAATAACACAATTACTTTGAATCTTCTTATTGATGTTGTGTCATTCCACAAACAAATCATACTTACAATTTAGTAGTACATTTACAAAAACTAATAATAAACATATATAAAATTAATAATAAACAGATACATTAAACATAATTTAGACATTAAATCAAAAATGACGTTATCCTAATTTTTTTCCCTGTCATTCACGTGTACAAATTGCCCATCGATTATTACCCATAAACAGGTTGTACCAAATAATTAACGTTACGAACGATTAACTGGCATCGTGATCTTCGCTTCGAAAGCGAGAAGAGAAGATCGACGACCGTTCGATTTAACAGAAGACTCTGCTCACCTTGTATTCTGCTCGTAGAATAGGAAGTGCGCGTCGAGAATCGCGGGATCGTTCGGGAAAATATTCACCGGCACGACGAATATCCAAACACGCAGAGCAAGCGAAGAGGAACGTCGAGCACGGGATCGTTCTTCAAAGTCGGGAGGATGTTCCAGCATACGTCGAGGATCACTGTTTCCAGGTGGTGAGCCTTGTACGTAGAGCAGGCTGAGGCGGCAAGCGGCTGCCGGCGAATACGATAACAACGCGTTATTAAGAGACTGGAATGCGATGGAACGAAATCGTTACGCGGTTTTGCGTGAGAACGTCCCGATTCGGGCACGTTGTTCGCGCGTTTTCACGAAACAGACGGAACACGGTGCCGGAGTAGAAGCGATCAGGGAAAGAAGAAGACTGGAGGAGGTAGAAAAGGAAGCTTGTTCAAAAGTAGAAATTCTCGGCCAGCACTGCGATACGGAGCGTTGCACATAATTACACTAGATATCACTGCCGAGTATGCGTATCATAGAGATTAATAGCACGTATGCTCGCGTCGTTTGACGCATTCCCACGTGATTACTCGTCGCGAAATATAGAGAACAGGAACAACAGCGGCGGCAGCGGCGGCGGTGGCGGCAGTAGCGGCAGCGTTTCCTCGTTGTGGCACGGAATCGGAAAACAAAGATAAAAACATGCCGCACAACACCACCGCCGTCCTCGTCCTCAACAGAGGAGGCAGTTCTTTCTCGTCAGCGGCACGTCGTCTATTGCATAATGACGCGCAAGATTCGTATCTCCGGCGAACGGCACTAGTATCGTACGAGTCACTTCGCGTCTTCCTCGCCGATGTCCACGTACGCGAAAAACCTTTACACATATGACTTCCGCAGAGATGTCGAAGGCATCGAGAGTAGAAGTGTGTACACCAGAGGGAAAGGGAAAGAGAGTGAGGAAGAAAATGAGAAATGTTCGTGTATGTATATGTACGTATGTGTATGTATGTGGCGCGCGTGTGTGTGCGTGTGCGAGAGAGAGACAGAGAGAGAGAAAGAGAGAGAACGTAACGAAAGAAAGACAGAAGACACACTAACGTGCTTCGTCTCGTGAACAGCGTAACCACGAGACGTGTGTTAACGCGAGACGTGGGCGCCGTTTGCACGGTCGAGCGAAACGATCGGCTCGTTATAAACGTGACCGAGGAAGGAAACGTGGAGAAAAACGAGGGAAGCGGCTTCCTTCGCGGTACTCCTGCGGCGTACAATGGCGGAGCAAAAAACAGATTCGAAGGCAGCTTCTTTCGGCCAGTTTCCCCCTTCTGTAACGCTCACCTCGGCCCGGGGGCGCTCGACATAATCGCACGTACACCCATCAAGATCCACCGATAAATACGAGCGTTTGTTCCACGATACGCAACACGGCACGACGTTCGTGCAACTCGCGCGGATATAAATGTCCGTCACACCCAATGCACGATTAATCCCTCTCGACGATGATTCCTCTCTCACGCGCGGGGTAACGCGCGTACTTCGCCAACCGACGTTTCTGCGTCTCTCCTTTGGTGTTGATGTGTACGCGTTTCCGGCGTTCAATCCACGGGAGCCTCCCTCTTCAAATTCTCTACGATCACCGACGTCGATTTTCGAGGCAAAAGTCACACGAGCAACGCGAGCTATTTATCAATAATATATAGGAAATTCGACCAACTTCGGTGTTGCTGAAGCGGGATCGACCAATACTGCAGTGCCGCTGCCGGATGTGGCCTTCGTGCCACGCTGCCCAATCAGATTCATTTTCTATCTATAACGTCGGCGGTAAAGTCCAATTCGCAGCTCGATACCGTGGCTCGGGCCGCGTAACGAAAAACCCTAGGCAGCCCGGCGCGAGCTACTTTTCCCGCTTGATCCATACGACACACTTGCTGACGACGCGTATGTATCAAACGCAAGCCTCGCGAATGCCGGAATTACAGCATTGTTGTTTGTTTATTGCGACAAACACACTGCATGTTGCAATTCTTTGCGCTTGCACGCAACTTCGATTAACCAGCGCAGTATAGTTAATTTATTTTCTAACTTGAAATTTAGCGCGTTACCCGTGCGACGAGAAGTTGGAAAAACTCGTCATATGGAATATCATGACGAACGATACGTAATGCATTGAAACAATTTATAATCGTACATATATTGCAATAAATATTTAATACGTGACTAATTTTTTTGCTCGATAATATTAAATCGTGATATACGATGAGATGGAGTATATTTCAATGCGCGTTATATATTTTTTATCAACGCGACATTTTTCGAGAACTGTTAAGTAACAATATGCTACATACGTGCAGCGTGCAATTCTCGTAGAAAATTATTGGAAATGCGTAATAACGTTATATAATTGTAAATCAATTGTTGTAAAGCAATTACTAATTGAGTTTTCCCGTTTAGCACGGAAGTTATCTTGAATCTGATGAAAATAAGAAATATATCATTTTGTACATTGCGTGGATTTAAATATTTATATTGGTGCGTTTTATCGGTTTGATTATCACTAGGTTCGTCAGATGGCGATGTAAATACAACAGTGTCAATACCATCGCCTTTTTGTGTAAATTGATACTTTTTAATCATGACGAATACGATATCGATAAAATGAAATAATTTAAAGTAATAAGCAAATAAATATATCGAGAACAGTAAATAATAAATATCTAAAGGCTCTGTAAAATGGATATTGCTAAATCCTTGTTTAATGTTCGTGACCACGAAGGTTATGTTGGAAAGGAGGACCATAATGTTAGTATTTTTTAATCAACTGTTTAATTTTAACGAATTTTCTATATTTCGTTTGTAAATAAGCATTTAAAGTATAATATATTTGTATAAATGAGCAATTTTTGTAAAATAATGTTTATTTTATGATGAGAGTTGCTAAGAATCAGACATCTGTTAACATATTATTGATTTGAAATACACAGTATTTTTGTTTTTTAGAAAAAATTAGAAACTGCCGCCTCTGAGGATGAATTTGAAGTGGAGGTCTCAGGATTATGTAGCGAAATTTTGTCTCCTGCGCCTGGTGGTCCATTTTTTGCATTGACACCATCCATGTGGCCCCAAGATATTTTAGCCAAGTTAAATCAACCTGATGATCCAAATTCCCAACCTGAATATAGGTGTCTATAACAAATTTCTTTTATTATAGAACAAACTATGATAATTTGATACAATTAATTTTTTCATGTATGAAAATTTAACAATATATATACCAGGTTCGACGAATTTGGTTTTCGTGTAGAAGAAGAAGATGGTCCAGAACAAAGTTCAAAGAAATTATTAGGGATTCCATTTGTCGAAGATCCCCAACATAGGTATGGACAAATCAAATACTAATAAACAAGTGAATGTTAATTATGGAATTAATATAAATACTTTTCATGTTTAGACTACAATGGGTTGCTCTATTGGAATTTAGTCACAATAAAGAAGTAGCTGAATTTTCTTGGCAAAACATGGATAGAAGATTACCGCGTACAGACAAATTGCGAGATATGGTTCATCGAGGTATACCTCATTCTCTTAGACCCCAAATTTGGATGAGAATGTCAGGTAATTTTTTTAACATTATAATTTCATTTTCTATTAACCTTGTAAGCCTAGCCATAAGCCAAACTGACATAGATAGCACCAATATTAGCTCCAAGCTAATTTGATTAAGTTTTCCATTTTCGAATATAATATCTATAATATTTTATAACATTATACAAAGTAATTTGTTTTATTTAATGTTGCAGGAGCACTGCAGAAAAAATGTTCTTCTGAAATAATGTATAAAGATATAGTAAAAGCATCAAGTAATGATGCATTAGTAACTAATAAACAAATTGAAAAGGATCTTTTACGTATTATGCCCGCCAATGCATGTTTCAGCCATCTCCATAGCACAGGAATACCACGTTTAAGACGTGTTATGCGTGCTCTTGCTTGGTTATATCCTGACATAGGGTAATGATATAGTTTTATGAAATAATATTGTAATATTTTCATTTAGCATATAATCTGTTTATTCCACAAAGATACTGCCAAGGTACAGGAACAATAGCAGCCTCTCTTTTATTATTATTAGAAGAGGAAGATGCCTTTTGGATGATGGCTACGATAGTAGAAGATTTATTACCAGCATCTTACTACTCTTCTACATTATTAGGTAATATATTAATAAATTATAATATATTAATAAAATAATAGGTTTTAATTTTAAGAATATTTAACAGGTATTCAAGCTGATCAAAGAGTACTTCGTACATTAGTGGCAAATTATCTTCCTGACATAGACCATGTTCTGGTTCAGCATGACATAGAATTAAGTTTAATATCTTTACATTGGTTCTTGACTTTATTTGCATCTGTTGTACATAAGAAAATATTGCTCCGCATATGGGATATGTTTCTTTTTGACGGATCTATAGTTCTGTTTCAAGTTACACTTGGAATGTTAAAAATTAAAGGTATATATTGTTATTTAGTAAACGTATCCACAAGTATAAATTATTAATTATGTTTCTAGAACATGAATTAAAAGAATTAGAAAACTCTGCGCAAATATTTAATGCTCTCTCTGATATACCCGGAGATATTGATGATGTAGATTTATTATTTAAGGTAAGTTTCCATTCTTCAATTCTTACGAAAAATTTTTACACGGATAATGAGCAAATAAAAATTTCTATACTCGAAACTTTTTTCCTTTTAGACATCTTTAGAAGTAAGTGGATCATTAACAGACGTTTTGGTTGAAACTCATAGACGTAGACATTTGGCCTATTTAATGACAGACCAAGGTGGTCTGGTGGGTAATCCTGATGCTGTACCAAATTTACCAAAACAACATCTCAATAGGTATATTAAATTATGATAAATATTTAATTAAAAATATCTCAAACGACATAAACATTCTATTTACAATCGTTACATTTTACATATTTTGAAGGCGTCAAATGAAAAAAAATAAATCTATGTTTCAAACATTCTTATTTGGAAATTATGACACTGAAGATGATGCAAAGTCAAAAAATATTCGACAGACAGGTATGTTAATATTATAATTGAAAAAAATAACATCTTAAAGAGATAATATTTATAAATATTTTAGAAATATTGGTTGATTTAAGAGAAGCTGTATTGCAAGTTGCTAGACATTTTATAAATGTCGACCCAAAATTAAATAATATCGTGCTTATAGCAGATTATAGTATGGAAAGTCACGCAAAAGATCATGATAACTATGTCAATGTGTCACGCACTAGAAAAAGAAGAGCTAAGGCATTATTAGGTATGTCATTAACATATCACGTTCTTGCGAAGAAACTTGGAAAGGAAAGTTTTTCAAAACGAGCGAGAATTTGGTCCTGTTTAGAATTAAATATTTAAAATCAACAAATAAGATTTTTATAATTGGTTAACGATTTGGTCTCTACAACATTTTTATTAGTGATAACTCGCATTTTCTGAGCCGTGTCATTTTCTTCGCAAGGAGGTGCGATATGTTTAAATTAAGAAAATATTTCTAATTATATATAATATTTAATATTTAATAAGATGGTTGCTTTTTTTAATTTTTATAATCATATTGTACAGATTTTGAAAGACATGACGATGATGAATTAGGTTTCCGGAAGAATGATATAATTACGATTATAAGTCAAAAAGATGAACACTGTTGGGTGGGAGAACTTAATGGATTAAGAGGATGGTTTCCTGCAAAATTTGTTGAATTATTAGATGAAAGAAGTAAACAGTATACATGTGCTGGAGATGATGCCGTTAGCGAAGCTGTTACTGACTTAGTCAGGGGAACGTTGTGTCCCGCTATAAAAGCAGTATTGGAACATGGAATGCGTAGACCATCGTTCTTAGGCGGTCCATGCCATCCATGGCTTTTTATTGAAGAAGCTTCAAACAGAGAAGTAGAAAAGGACTTTAATTCAGTTTATAGCAGATTAGTACTGTGTAAAACATACAGATTGGATGAAGATGGCAAAGTTCTTACACCCGAAGAGGTAATATTATTTACACCTTTACATTATTTGATTTATTTATACAAAATTTGTATAAATAACAACTGTTTTATCTCCAAGCCAATTTTGTTTCAGTTATTATATCGATGTGTTCAGTCGGTAAATTTAACTCATGATAATGCACATGCACAAATGGATGTAAAATTACGATCTCTTATTTGCCTAGGATTAAACGAGCAAGTGTTACATTTATGGCTTGAAGTTTTATGTTCATGTGTAGAAGTTGTACAAAAATGGTACTTATAAAATAATAATAGTTTATTATATTTTTTGTTTTAATAATTTACATATTAATAATTTTACAGGTACCAACCGTGGAGTTTTATAAACAGTCCCGGTTGGGTACAAATTAAATGTGAACTACGAATATTAAGCCAATTTGCATTTAATTTAAATCCTGATTGGGAATTACCACCCAAGAAAGAACAATCACAACCTCTGAAAGATGGTGTTCGTGATATGTTAGTTAAACATCATTTATTTAGTTGGGATCTTTAGCGCACCGTACCAGAACCATTAATAATTTTTGTATCAAATCTCTTGTGTACAACGTAACAAATCTCAATCATAATTTGTATATTATATGCAAATGGAAGATAATTGTGTAGTACAAATCAATTGCTATTGTATATGTAGAATATACATTGTATACGTGGCAGCGTGTACATACGTATGCGTTTATATTATAAAAGTTTATTCCTATATTTAAAAGTTATTTATATTTTACAAATAAACGTTAAAAAGTGTTAAAAAATTTCAATAATAAAGTTTTTGATTGTGTTAATTAAAATGAAAAGTAAAAATGGATTGTATATACGTGCATATATACATATGTTATTACTGTTGTTAGCTCTGTTCAACAAAAGAAGTTGAATAGATAAATTTATCGCATGTGTACATCAAAATCAGCATGATAAGTATTACTATTTATACGTAACAAATCTCAATCATAATTTGTATACATGTATTATTTATTCAAGTTTAAGTTCTGATGTATACAAATAATTTCAAAAAATAAAATCTCTAATTTACATTTATAAAATTTTTTATATAATATAAAAAGTTTTACTTTTTTACAAAATATATCATAGTGGTAAATCTTTACCCTTTAAAAGATTCGTAAGTGGAAATTTTCTATCTCTGCGACAACATGGATCAGTTAAATTATCATCAGTAATTTTTATATTAAGTTGATCGGCCTTTTCGTCTACCGCAACTGATGGTTTAAGTAGAAATTTGTGCCAATCAAAAGGTTCTCGTTTATATAAATTTTTATATTTTTCTATAGTTGAAGGATCAATGTGCAAATCGTGCATATCCAAATCGTTTTCAAAAGCTTCTTTTCCAAAATCTATTTTACAGCCACATTTACGTTTCTTTATATAGATAAAGTGTAAATCCATAACATTGGTGCCAGTAAAACCAGTTTTAAATAAATCTGAACCTTTTTTAAATCGGGAATAGAAATTGTATGTATCATTCTCTTTCAAAGTATTTTCGGGTAACATACGTTCTACCTCCATTGTTCGAAGTATAAATGGAAGTGTATCGTCACTTTCATCTGTCTCGCTTTTATTGGGACTCATTTCTTCTTCTGTTGTTTTTACTATTTTTTTTTTACCTGCTAAAAATCCACTTAATTCCTGTGCTTTGCACAGATCTTTAAGTTGTTGTTGTATTTTGAGTTGCTCTTGTTCTTCCTCTTTCTTTCTAACAGCTTCTTCCTTCTCTCCTTCTTTAACTATCACCCTTGAAGTTATGGAGTTTACTTTTGCATATATATCATGAATCAATGGTCCAATAGCAGGATATCCAAATGCACCTGCTGCATCAGTTGGACCATCCTGACCGTCGGTCCCTGCACTCAACATTATTACCTCATATTCCGCAAATCGGGGATAACTTTTGATTTTTGCCAACCAGTCTAGGGAAAAATGTAACGCTAATTCTTGATTTCTACCACCTTTTCC